CCCTTAAAAAAGAAACAGCCTAATGAAACAAAAAAGCAAAGGGAAAAGAGAAAGACCAGCGGCTCAATTTCAGCGGTTAATAACGTAAACGATAGAGATAGCTCCATTCCTCCACAACTTTCGACTTCACTTACTTCTAGCAGGAAAACTCTAAAGTAGACATTTCCTGTGGCGCACCGCGCATGCGTAATGGCTAACCAGACGTATATAAGAAGCCAGTTACTGGCCCTTGATTTCTTCGAGAGTTAAAAAAGGCTTAAGCGTGACGTCACGAGGCTGTATCCGTTACCTCATTTCCGGTGTTTTGGATAGACACAGGAGAAAAACCCAGCCACCAGGGACCTTCGCTTTCCATAAATTAACTCAACTGAGCTGCAAAATCTTCACGCGTGCAAGATGGAGAGAAGGAAAGAAAACAAGGTCAGGCTGAGGAATGTGAGGATGTGGAGAGAATTCAGGGTGAGTTGAGATTTAAAAAAAAAAAAATTCCTCTCGCAAACTGGGAGGACGGTCTTCAAGACGTTGCAGCTGCATGCTTGTGTGTGTGCGCGCGTGTGTGCGCGCGTGTGTGCGCGTGCGCTCGCATGTGTGTGTGTGTCGTGTGTGTGTTTGTGTGTGAGTATGTGCTATGATAAACTTTTAAAACACCTACATCAGGGATTCTCCAAATATTTGGAGTATTATGTAACACGTCGCTAAGCTTGCAAGATCGTGAACATAATCAATACTATAAAACATGTGACATGTATTATAATACACCACGTGAAAAAAACAAACAAGCCAACCCCCCCCCAAAAAAAAAAAAAAAAACCAGTTTAAAAAGTTCCGTAATCCCCATTATTTATTTCAAGAAGATATCATATTATGGTTATTTCCACATCTCCTGCTTTCTTTTTCTCTTTATTCAAAGACAGATTCCATCTGATGGCGAACCAATGACCTCAGAACTTCCTTTGGGCGACCCCAACAGAGGGCGGCTACCCCGTCTGAGGGCAACCCCGTGAGGGTTGTGTGTATAAACAGAGAGAGTTACGACTCCTACCTTGACAGAGCCTCGAGGATAGATCAAAGGCGGTCTATCCGCCGGAGGGGGGGGTATAGATTTACCTGGACGATAGAGTTTTACCTGTGTATAGTGCCAGAACTTGATTAACGGGTATTGCGGTCAGGAGGGCACAATGGCGTCCAAGGGAGAGAGAGAGAGAGAGATAGAGAGAGAGAGAGAGAGAGA